ATATATATAGAGAGAGAGAGAGAGAGAGAGAGAGAGAGAGAGAGAGAGAGAGAGAATGAAAATTGTTTGGGCACAACACATCGCTTTCACGAAAGAAAAATAAACTTATACTTTCAACTTACATTTTTTCCTTCATCACCTCTTCACTGATATCTAGCCCAACGAGCACTTCAATACAATTGCAGAATTTCAGCATCCAGAGTAGTCTACAATCAGCACATCCCAAATCTGCCACCTGTTAATGTGAATTGGATACAATTCCTAATATCACATATAAGGCTTGTTTGACAGCCTTACGTAATGAAAATGAATGCTGATTTAACACTAGGCTTGATTAGAGTTAGCCATATGGTGACAGAGGATTGTAATCTACCAGCACTGGAAAAAAAATACTGTAATATTTTGAAGGGGGCAATATCTCATTGCTACTTACATTTATACAGAAATCATATGCAAAGATCACCATGCATATATTGGCAGAAGCCATAAATAAAACACTGCACGCATACATGGATCCTGAAAATTAATCTTGCGTATACAAAACCAGATCAAATAACTCTAATTTGACAGGTTCACACATCCCACTGCGCAATTATTGTTTTAACCCTGATTAACCAAGTAACCCATATTAGGCCATTAACTGTAATGTGGCTTGCTTGTTTTTAGCTTAGTAGGCTGTACAAGTACAGCTTCTGTGAATTCTAAAAACATTCTTTTTCGCTTTGCAGGTTATGTGAATGGACTCAGCTGTGGCTTTTCAGTAAGCTATGATCAGGCCAACAACAGTGTATTTGTGACTTCAGACAATATCATTTAATTACTATTCTTTGTTTTTCTGATCTGTTGAGAGTTGAGTAAGAGTCTTTACTGTTTTACTGAGAATGCTTTTTCGCAGCATCTGCTTGAATAACCATAATATTTAAAATGTACATCCATCTGTACTGTGGTTCCCAAACTGTGCACCACAGTGTCTGGGGAACCACAGCAGGATATTTTACTAAACGGAACTGTCCTAACTGCCCTGGGGGCTCTGTAGTGCATAGTTTGGGAACTGCTAGGGGTGCCATAAACCAAGGAAGTTTGGGAATCTCTACCTTAATGTAAAAAATACTAAATACTAAAAAATACTAAAGCTTATACTACATATTATTCATGACGAGTACATAAATCATCCCCTATGTCAGTTGTTTGGAGTCTCCCTCCACCATTACAATTCCTAATTCAATTTTTTTAAACTGTGCTATATCACAGCAAGGTAATACCTTTAAGGATAAGAGTTCTAATGCAGTCGGCCATATTGGAAAAAATCGTACTAAGAAACATACTAACCTTTTTAGGTTTATGTTTATTCACCAACTGCTTAATAAAGTGGTAGCGTTGCTTATACAGTGGTGGTGTAAATGTAATCATCTTCACAAGATCATCTGTCTTCATTGTTACATCCATATTCAAAGAACAGGATTACTTAAATGCTATATTCTCAGAAACAAAGATCAGGATTACTTAAATGCTATATTCTCAGAAACTCTTTTGTAGACTGGGATCTGATTATATTTCATGGCTATACAAATTAAATACATCTATATTTATTTCACATTCTTTTTTTCTGTAGAATTAATCTGAAACTCTTGATATAAATCAGCTTTGAGCTTGTGGTGTAACATTGTTTATACATGTACTGAAGTAATTCCTTTTATTTTTAATAAAGTTTAATATAAGGAGGACTGAAATTGTCATTCTCCAAGATGCTCTGTATCTATTTATGCTATCATCTACAGCTTATTTGCTTTCTTTACTGATCTTTGGACAGCATTTTATACAATTGATATAAAACTTCTTTGGAGTGATTTGACAAGATGGGAACACTGGTTCTCATCTTCTGCATCTAGTTAGGCCTTTTATTCTAAAGGTAAGGTTTTTTCTTCATGGTATCCTCTCTAAACCAATTGTCAACCAACATAAAGATAAAACAAGACTGTGTTTTGGACATTTTTTTCTTTTTAATTACTCTATTAATGATCTGGTTCATGAACTAAGTGAACTATACAATATTTCTTTCCTCCCTCTATTTGAGAAAGGAAGATTTCACTTTGGCCTATGCAGAAGATATGGTTTTGTTTACTTAAACTCAGAGAGTCTTTAGATTACATATGAGCCAGTTAGTTTGACAGCCAGAATAACAACTTGATAATTATGATAAATCCAGAGTGACTGTGTTTAAAGATAAAATGCCAAAACGGCCAAAATGAAACTGAACGAATTTCCTCATATTGCTATCTTGGAATTTTCAATCGTTTAGGTTGGTGGAAAGTGCTAAAACTAAAGGCCTTAGATTCTCGATCACAGAAACAGAGTGGTGTCCCCTATTCTCAAGGTAGTGAAGGGGTTAGGGTTAGGGTTCTCAGGAAAGGGGTGAAATCCTGGCTGTGCCAGAAGACCTAGGGGCCAGATGGGGGCTCGCACCAGTGGAGGTGGCTTATGGGGTGATTGACAAGGCTGTATACTGTCACCCTGCTTATTTAACTTATATGCAGAGTACATCATGAGAAATGCCAGGCTGGAAGAATCACAAGCCGGAATTAAGATTGCAGGGAGAATCATCAACAACCTCAGATATGCGGATGATACCACC